CACTTGGTAGCCCAGGCTGGCCTCGAACTCACAGAGATCCGCCTGCCTCTGCCTCCCAAGTGCTGGGATTAAAGGCGTGGGCCACCACCGCCCGGCCAAAATCTTTCCTTTTTATTTAGATAAAAAGGGGGAAATGTGCAATAATTTTTATATACTGTAAAAATATGTCACTCTGACTGGTTTAATGAAAAGCTGAATGGGCAGGATTTCCAGGCACAGAGGATGCCGGGAAGAAAGGTCGAGGGGAGACATGGAGACAGAGCAGGCAAGACATGCAGGAGGAGAGGTAACAGCCACAAGCCACGTGGCAGCGCACAGATCAGGAGAAGTGGGTTATCTAAGTTGTAAGAGCGAGCTAGAAGCAAGCCTAAGCTGCCAGCCAAGCATTTATAATTAATAATAAGTCTCCACGTTGTGATCTGGAGCTGGCTGGTGTGACAGAGAAAGACTGGCTATGAGATGCTGTGTGTGGAGACTCACACCTATAAATCCAGCAGCTGGAAAGCTGAAGCAGGAGAACTGCTGTGAATTCAAGGACAATCTGAGCTACACAGTGAATTCCAGGATAGCCTGGTCTACCAAATGAGACCCTACCTCAAAAAGCCAAAACAAACAAACAAAACAAAAAATAGAAACAAACATGTTAGGAAGAAACTCCAAATAATCTGCCTTAAAAGGAAAGACTAACATCCACTCTTTATCTGGGCTCCTAAGTGACTGCCCTCATAAAATACAAATTGGGGGGGGGGGGCGCTGGAGAGATGGTAAGTACTACTCTTCCAAAGGACCAGGTTCAATTCCCAGCACCCACAAAGCAGCTGACAACCCTAACTCCAGTTCCAGAGGGTCTGATGCCCTTTTCTGGCCTCAATGGGCACCAAGCATACATGTGATGGACAGATTTACATGCACACAAAACACCCATAAAAATAAATAAAAAATTTAATGAGGAAAGGTGAATTTTTACAGTGGGAAGACCTTATGAACACTACTTCAGACAGCTATCAGTGTTACTACACACAGGGTGGGAGGGGATCACTGCTATTTTATGCATCCTGTGGTCTTCTTCCAAAAAACACCTAATCTAAAGTGAATCCTGATGGAAACATCAAATAGTTGGGGAGGGTGACATATACCTGGAACCCTAGTACTCAAGACGCTGAGGAGAGGCGGATCTAGAGTTCAGACAAACCCGGAATGGGCATGCCTGCGTGAGTGCGTGTGCGTGTGCCTGCGTGCGTGCGTGTGCGTGCGTGCGTGCGTGCATGCGTGTGTGTGCGCGTGCGTGTGTAAAGAAACACAGAGGACATAGAACTGGGGATGGTGGAGAAATAAATTCCAATGGAAGGGTAGTCTTCAAAATACGAGCTTAACATTGCTAAGACCTGCTGGGGAGAGTGGCTCTGGTAAATGCACTGCTGCACAAGCATAAAGACTTGAGTTAAAACCCTGAACACCACTTGGGTTGGAGAATTGGCTCAAGAGTTAAGAGCATTTGTTGATCTTCCAGAGGACCCAGCGGCAGCTCACAGCCATCTGTATCTTCCAGAGGACCCATGTACCAGGCACACACATATTTGTTGGCAAAACACTCATAAACACACTCATAAACATGATAAAATAATCTTTAAAAAATCACCAGTGCGCAAGTAAAAAGCCAGGTGTGGCCATATGCACCTGTGAGCCCGTACCATATGGGCAGAAATGGAAGACTGCTGAGGCTTGCTCCAGGCTCAGTGGGAGACCCTGTCTCAAGGGAACTTGGCTGAGGTAGAACAGGACACCAGCTGGCTTCCTCTGGCCTCTGAAATCATGAATAGGCACATATGTGCATATATACAATACACACTCATACCCATGTACCCACCCCCCCAGAAAAATGATTGAGGACAAGTAAAGTCTGAGAAACTGACATTAGGAGACATGAGACCTATATGCTAGATGAGATCCTGAATCAGAAAAAGAAACTTCCTTTTTTTTTTTTTTTTTTTTTTGAGATCAGGTCTCCATACTTAGCTCTGGATGTCCTAGAACTCATTATGTAGACCAGGCAGAGATTTTTTGTTGTTGTTGTTATTTGTTTTTTTTCAAGATAGAGTTTTTCTCTGTGTATCCCTGGCTGTCCTGAACTTGCCCTGTAGATCAGGCTGGCCTCAAACTCAGAAAACTGCCTGCCTCTGCCTCCCGAGTGCTGGGATTAAAGGGGTGGACCACTGCTTCCAGCTTAAGGAAGTTTCAATACCTGGCTTGCTTGTTTTTTGAGACAAGGTCCATGTAACCTGGGCTGGCCTCAAACTGTAGCAATTCTCCTGTCTCTGCCTCCCAAGTGCTGAGAATCCAGGTATGAACCACCATGCCTGGCTTGAACAACATATGACATTAGTTACTAATAATGCAGTGATGCTGATTAGTTAACTGTGAGAAATGTACTTTAACAATGGAAAAGGGAGAGGCACCAGGTATACAGGAATTCTTTGTAGCATCTTCTCAACTGTTCTAAACACCAATATAAAGTCTGTACCATCTCACTGTTAAGGAATAAATAAAAGACAAAGCCTTAAGAGGGAGAAATAACAATGGAGAGATTAGGAAAGTCAAATATGAAATGTGACAGTATATCCAAGAGACACTCAGCATTAGAAAACAAAGACATAAGCAGCTCAGGAGAGGGACTGTGCCAGGAAGAGCAACGACAGACGAGCAGGGAGGGACTAGAGACAGCAGATGAGACCTCATGTTCAAGAAATGGATTTTAACAGTGGCATCCCATGCCTACAATCACAGTGGTGCACGCCTTTAGTCCCAGCACTCAGGAGTCAGGCGGATCTCTGTGAGTTCGAGGCCAGCCTGGTCTACAGAGTGAGTTCCAGGACAGCCAAGGCTACACAGAGAAACCTTGTCTCACAAAAATAAACAACAACAACGACAACTTCACAGTGCTCATGAGGCTGAGGCTCGAGGACCGCCATGAAGTCATGAAGTTGAGAGCGGACTGGGCTGGCTATACAGTGAGGCCTTGAGGGAAGGCAGGAGAGAGAGGAGAGGACAAACACCTGCCCGTGACTCAGAAACAGAAACGACAGACTCCTTCAATGACTGGAAAGTGAGGGTTTGGGGCACAAAGGAAGAATTAAAGGCATAGTGACAGAGGTCTGGAAAACAGCTGGTGAACTAGCCATGGAGAAGTTAGGACACCAGAAAGCAAGAACTGGCAAAAAGCTGTGATACTGACAGAAGTTAACAACGCTGTACTGAATCTTAACCTGAGTTTTTTTCCCTAGCAATATGTTACAGACTAAAATCAGAAACCAAGAGAAGAGTTGATGGATATCATTCAAGATAAAGACAGTCATGTGCAATAGTGAACTGATGCCTCTAATGCAGGCATAGGTGGGGACAGGGAGAACAGGAGTTCAAGGCCAGCCTGGACTGCAAGAGACTTTGCCTCAAAAAGCCAAAAATGCCAAAAAAATAAACAAACAAAAATGATAAAGAGGGGGCTAGAGAAATGGCCCAGAGGGTAAAGCATTTGCCACACTAATATAAGGACCAGAATCAGATTGCCAGCATCCACATTCATGTTGTGGGCTGGTGGTATGACCATAATCCCAGCACTTGGGAGATAGAGACAGGATCCCAGGAGCAAACTGGCTTGCTAGACTAGCTAAATCACCACACTCTGGGTTACACTGAAAGATAATGCCTGAGATATAAGGTGAGGAGGGATGGAGGAAGATGCTTGGTATCAACATCTGGCCTCCACATGCATGTGGACTTGTACCCACACATGCACGTGCACACAAGCAGGCACACACATTCACACACACATGGAACCAGAAAACCTAAAGAGGGCAAAAAGCTGCCTCTGTGGATTTGAGACAGTCAAAATGGTGACTGGTAGAGAAGCTAAAGTGAAGGGGAATACCTGAAAGGAAAGTAGTGTCACAGATGAGGTCCAGGTTGTAGTAATCCTGAGGTGTAGCTGAAAATACAAAGGTATGTCAATGATCTCGTGCTCAGGAACTAGGGAGTTCAGAGTATTCCCAAGGTGCTAGAGACAGAATAACAACAAAATAAAAACAAAAGGGCTAGAGAGATGGATCAGGGACTAAGAGTGGCCCTGGCTGAGGACCTGAGGGCCTGGGTTCGATTCCCAGCACCAATACAGTGGCCTACAGCTCTAACTCCAGTTCCAGGAGATCTGATACCTCTTCTGATTTCTGTGGGCACCAAGCACACACATGGTGCAGACACACACACAGGCAAAACACTCACACACATAAAATAAGTCTAAAAAAACAAAACAAAACTTCATTTGTGGATAGTAGATAGGAACACTGTGGTGCTGTGGGAATTTTATAGGAACCACTATAATTGCAAGGCAGTACATTACACAAGGGATCACAGGGACAGCAGGAAGTAGGAGAGGAAGACAAAAGAGCCGTCTATTTCTTTTTTTCTTGTACACAGTCATGGAAAACATAAAATACCTCTGGTGGCAGGGCAGAGCCAGATGAGTTATGTGGATAAAAAGAATAATAAGGTATACATCAAAAGCTGCAAATCGCCCATCATGGCAGTGGCAGTGTGCGCCTTTAACTCCACAACTTGGGAGGCAGAGGCAGGAGGATCTCTATGCCTTTAAGGCCAGCCTGGTCTACACAGTGAGCTCCAGGCGGCCAGGACCACATAGTAAGGCCATGTTGCGGGGAGGGGAGTTCCAGGCCAGTCAAGGGTACATAATGAGACTCTGTCTTAAAACACACAACAAACACAAACCCGGTGGCTAGTTAGAGACCTACTGAGTAGAGACTACAAGGAAACTCTTTGAAATGCAAGACTAGGGAACGGTAGCAGAAGTACCACAACGTGGGAAGCCTACCTACAGGGAACACGTAAAGCAAACCAAGAGGCACACACGGCACATTTTAAACACATCATGCATACACTGCACGCTCACAGGATCACTTCTATGAAACACCAGAGCCGGTGAACACACGTGAAGACTACAATGAGGGACACAGAAACAGTAACCAGGCGCTTGCACTGCGTCTTACAAGACTTTCACATGCCTACGTGACCACCTCCGGGTCAGTACGGCTGTTGTGCACATTCTTCTAAAGACAAGGCAATCAGAATAAGACAAAAATATCGGGAAAACTAATGCTCAGTTTCATACACAAACAGACTTCCAACATTTCAGACAGCCGGACTGGAACGCTACTCAGGCTGTGCGGAATAACGGGGTTCTGTGCATTGCCAAAGATGTTGGAAGAAAGGCCAGGAGATACTTTCCTGTTGGCTTCCTCTCACTTTAGATGGAAAACTCCCATCGATGAGGAAAGTCAGGTTGAAAGTTAGATTCCTCCTCCCTTCGTGTACCTCTGGACTTCAGTGACCCCCCAACAAATGAAGATGAGGCAAAGAGTGAGGAAAGCACTATGCAGCAATGAGACCCTCAGCAGATACAGCGTGGAGAGACAGAACGAAGACGGGGGTGGGGTGGAGAGCGGGTTTGGGGGGGGCGGGAGAGGGCTGGAACTGGAGGGAACCGACGGGGCGGGAGCCCGGGCAGCTGGAGCACCCTGGGGGGGGGGCTCGGGGCTCCAACCGCTGCAAAGAGCCGGGGCTGCTAAGGGCCCCGGAGCAGGGGACATCGCAGGACCCCAGGATCCGGGAGACCGGAAGCAGAGACCCCCCCAAACCACGAGACCAGAAGGGGGCGCAGGTGATAACCCACAGGAATGAATGGGGAAGGCGGTCCGGGGGCGGGGCAGAGGAGGGGCCCCGGGGTGGGCGTGGCACGAGCCCCTCTCCAAGTCCGAACCCCTAACCCGCGCGTCCCGAAGGGAGCGGCTCCGCGGCTCCCGCACTCACCGCCGGTCTCGTCAGTTACATAGGGAGTCGCCATCTTGAGAACCCGAACCACTTCCGGCGTGAGCGGGCCGGGGTCCCGCCCCCTCCCCACCGGAAGTGGAATCCTCATCATCGCCAGCCACCATTTTCCTCTTAAAGAGAGACCGCACCATTTCCCGGACCCGGGCGGAGGGAGAGGGAGGGCGGGCGCTCAGAGCCGTTTACAGAGTCGTCCGTGGGCTCTTTTACTGCCACCGACACCATTATTTAACGCCTGAAGCATACAAAACGGCCCTCCGGGCTCCCAGGAGAAGTTCCGGCATAAGCCCTCGACTTCTAACCCCGAAGTAGGGCTCGCACGGCCCCAGGCCCGCGGGCACCCAATGGAAAGGCACCGACAGGGCCCCCGGGCTGCACCCGTGCACACAGGGCCCCCCGGGGCTGCACCCGCGCAGTCAGGGCCTCCGGGGCTGCACCCGTGCACACAGGGCCCCCCGGGGCTG